AAAATGTGTACGTACAAAAAATATGTACTGATTTAAATATTTTATATCCATTCATGATAAATATATTTAGATTGAAATTCATTCATATTAATTTAAAGATTTTAATGTACAGGAAAAAATACTGACATTTTGTGTACAGTTCGCTGCTGCTTTTGGGCAACTGTTTGGATCAAAATCCACAGATGCAGTATTGAATTTGGGCACATATCACATGCTGCGCGATCGGTCAAGAGTATATATAGCGTGCTGGATGTGATAATCCGGCGGGTGCAACGAGTGCCTCGCGTGCTGCTGCATGCCTATTAGCGACCATCACCGGTTTTGCTTTTATTGATCATTTTCCAATGAAAATGCACTGTAAACCGCCCGGCACGCGTTAATTACACCTTGCTGAGTGTACGTATTGCGTCCCTCCATTTTACTACCTTTAGCTACTGGCGATGACCTTTTTTCTTTGCTTGAAGAAACGATCCTTCTTGCATATATACAAATCCACGCCAAAAATTAAAAAAAAAAAACAGCATAAGAGAAATTTTTTGGAAATTTCCGTAAATTTTATTAACAAAATTAATTATTGGTGAATTTATAAAAATGTAATTAAATATCGGAATTTTCTGGAAACAGCTCTAGCGGAAATGCCGGTTAGCAATTAATCCGCTTATTCCGTACGTAGAATCGTATAATCTGTTTACATAGAAGACACATCTATTAAGTAATAACCACCGCGAATGAATGAATAAATGAATGAACGAATGAATGAATGGAAGTCATGATGAGCGGCACCTGGCGGTGCCCTGCTCCCTCTACCGCATCCGGAAGTGCCAGTGGCCGGGGAGAGGCGGACACATGGCCGGCATGTCTCGTGCGCCCCGGCATAGAATACGCTGCTCATCACTCGGCCAAAGATTACCGCACTATATATTAATAACCGGCGCTGCCATATACATGTGCATACACAGCGCCCCGATTTCCATATTTCCTATTCCTTATCAACAGAGCAACCGACAGAGAGAGCGAGAGAGGAGAGATATGTAGCAGCAGTTAGATTGGTCCACATATATACGTACAAGCTCGTCCCGTAATTTATAACGCATTAGTACAGCGACAAATACAAATTCAACGGGTCGGGTTACGTTAAACTCCATACTACGGCGCGCCACGCCACACTATTTACGCTCTACATGGCCGATTCATGCGCAATAGCCATTTAAATTATATACCGTTAATATAAATTAAAATATATATCGTGTACATATAATATTATAATACATGTGCATATAATACATGTGCATACGAGCGTATAAAGTGTAATATATATTATAATTTACATACCTTGTACATATATATGCGGACCAATCTAAAAAAGTAACTTTTTTTCCTTTATAATTACACTAAAAATTGAGAGAAGTATTTGTCATTGTGGTAGACGTAGTGTAGTGGCAATCGTTCAAAGCGCTAAATGCGCTAAACTTAGCGCAAAATGCTTGCTAACTGTACCTCTACGTTAGAAATTACGGGACAAGCTTGTACACGCATATGTAGTGCATATATACAGTGCGATATATGCAGTGCGTAATCGCCCAGCTGAAAGGATGCATATGCCGGTTATCGGCGTCTCTAAACACAGCGCGCTGCAACTGCTTCCGCTGCTGCAACACAGTGTACAAGCACAAACAACCGCCCCGGCCCGCTGCCGAACCGAACGACGTCGCCAGCACCCATCGATCGATAGAGGAAAAGTTGCGCGTTTATTGCTGTGCTGGCGTTCTTTTCTTTTTCGCCTCTGTAGCAGCTAATCTGCCTGTGTGTGTTGTGTATACTCTATACGCGGGGTTTCTGCTCAAGTCCTGATTTCGCCTGGCACGATTTATATATACGGACTGCTATTTAGGAAATCAGTTCCGCGCTCCCACACATTTTGACACCAATATTCTTGGCTTAGACTGGGTTGTGCTCATTAGAATATTTTCAAATTAAGTGCTGGGGATAGTACCTCATATATACGCTAAAAAGCGGTTGGAGGGCATTTTTGGTGGGATATTCAAAAACGGTAAGCGAATATTTTTCTTAGATTTCTTGGGTTACATACGTAGAATTCCCGTTAATTAATAGCACTTAACGGGAAACAGGAAAATTCGCCACCGGAAGTACGGTAGCTGTCTTTTTCAATAAAACCATAAAGCGTCTGGATTTCTTAGGTTTCTTAGATTTCTTAGAATTACCCGCAAATGCGTTATTTCAAAGAAAGCATAACGCTCGATTATTGAGAATAACTTCGAAAATTTTGCACCGGAAATGCGGTAACCAATTTTCAGGAAATTCGAATGGGCGTCCTGATTTCTTAGGTTTCTTAGGTTTCTTAGAAATTCAGCGAATGCATTACAGGTAAAAATAAACCAGGGATTAATGAAAAAAAATAGAGAAAATTCGTTGCCGAAAATATGATACCTGTTCCGGGATGAATTTTATTCGTGGCGCTTTAATTTCCTAGATTTCTTAGGCTTCTTAGATTTTCCCTGTCCCGGTTGATTTCCGGTAGAGAAAACTTCCGTCGAAGGAGTTTTCCCTTATCAGCTGTATGTCGCATATAACACATTTCCCATCCGACGGCTTTCGCGTTTTCATGGCGTGATAAAAACCATTTGTGTGGCTCGTCAAGTGGACTCTGCAGTTTGTACCACGCTATTACGTCTGATCCACCGCTGTATATATTACAGCGGCGTTAAATGATTTTTGCGGTAGATGCGGTTATGAGAAACAACAGGCCGCTAAATGATGTCACACATGTGACAGGTTATTAAAAAAAACAACGGTACAAGGTGCTTCTCAAGTGGAACATGTGTAACTATGTTCATCGTGTTCACCTGATGAGCAAATAACCGGCTCCTTCAATGTCGCGGTGGACAACAGCGATCTGCTTACTTAAGACGCTGCCGGTTAAATAGACACGGTAGCCGTCCGTCATGATAGCCCCGCACTTAAACCGGCATCGTATATATACGTTTTCGGAAACGATTAGACGGGGTTAAAAAAAGCAGGGAATACGCGGGTGGCGATCGATAGTGATGGCTGGGGAAAAACGGGATTTAACATCTTTTCGATGAACATCTTATATTGCTTCTCGTGACCGTCTGCCAATAGTGATCGATTAAAATACATATGAGACTTTTATAAGAAAAATGATTTAAGCTATCGCTTTAAATATTTACCTGAAAAAAATAATTTTTTTATTTTTCTTTAAATTAACAAAACGCTACTTTAACAACTGAAAAATGTTTTATTTGTTTCTGAAATTCATTTCACGTAAAAATGCACTTAAAGTAGGAAGCATATAGCGATTTGAATACCTAAGAACGAAATAGAGGTTTTGTTGCTCTGAAATTTTTAAAAATGCTGATTTTGTTACACTCACAACCGGTCAATTTTATTCTTCATTTTTGTTATTTACTGCATATAAAAATTTATTTTTCTGTAAGTCTTCTACAGTTTTTATATATTAAAGCAGTGTCACAGGGATGTAATGTTTTTTCGAAATTTTGCTGAAGAATAGATGCATTTAGGTAAATTGCTATCGATTATTTTTAGCGCCCTGCTCCGCGTGATCAAGTGATAAATGCACTTTACGCGTAATTATTGTTTTTCTTGGGCCTTGCGTAATCCGCGTCACCTTACAATTATCCGGCGCGCGCTGTGGCCGCGGTGCGGAAACATGTGGCCGGGAGCGAGTTTTGCGCGCTGTCTTTACACGGTTAATCCGATATCGCATTTCTCTTAATTCTCTCTCGGCCGCAGCGATGCATGCATCCATGTAACCGCCACTGACTGTGCGCGCGCAAATGACGCGGCTTTGTTATGCTGAGTAGTTGTGCTGGGATAATTTTGCAGTCAGGTGTGAAACGACCTAGCAGGTGGTTTGTCAGTCAAAAGAATACCGTCTTCCGCTGATTAACTTTTCATGCATCGTAATCACTTGATAATCGGCCGTTTAACTGTGAAAATCGGAAAAACAATTTCCGGTAATTTTGTAAAAAAGTCGCCGTTGTGATTAATGCATTCTATTACCGCTTCGTAAGGTTTAATAAATTACATGAATTTAACAAGAATTAAAATCATCATTAATGGAGAAATAAAATATTAATTCCGCAGAAGTTTTAATTTTTGCATGATCTACTTAATTTTTGTAGAATTAAATTCGCAGTTATTTTCGATGTTTTTTCGGAAGTCTTCAGCTGTGCCGAAAATTCGATATTATTCATAAATCAAAAGATGCGTTCATTTGGCAATTTAAAATCACCATTAAGGAAAAAAATGAAAATAAGAATTCAGTAGGATTTTTAATTTTTATGGAATAAAACTAATTTTTATGGAATTAAATGGATCGATTATTTTTAATATATTGCGGATGTCGTTAGCTGTGCCGAAAATGCGATATTAATCATGGAATGGAAAGATGTGCTCGTTGGGCAATTTTCGGTGGTGCCCGCAGATCTCGTTTGTGGTTTGAGCGATGGGTCATTTGCCGGTCATCCGGGCCCATCCATAAAAGAAGATTAATTTCCTTTTAACCGCTTCCTCAGCGCCCTGTTCTTAGCACACACAGACTGACCAGAAGCTGCGAAGCGTCCTCCCGTGCAGATATATCTATATGTAATTTCCCGACAGACATGAAAAACATGTTTTGCCGGCATGTTGGCATGCCGGACATGTATCGCGATGGCCGGTCTAATCCGGGACTGAACAGCCAAATTAAGATAGTTGGTCCATGTTCCGGCTGACGAACGGGACACGAGCTAATCTCGTGTGAATTATGGATGACAAGCAATTAAAAATAGGAAACAAATTAACAATATTATAAATAATTCAGGGAAACGCCCACAGAAACATTAAAATATATAAAAGGATTATCTGGAATTAGAAATTAATAATTGTCATTATTGAAAAAAAAAACATTTAAATGCACAATGTTAAAACTCCTTATTTTTATATTGTCACGTCTTTTACTTCCCTCATGTACTTACTGATTCTGTATATGACAACATCATATCATCGGGTAATATAAAGTCATAAGTACAACATATCGTTGCTATGCTACAGACACACTGACACCTTCCCCAAGTGGGGAACCCACTTCACAAACACAAACAAAAACTGAAAGAACTCATTGCTCATGTATTAACAGCTTAGGAGCTATTCCAGCGTTCGCCCTAGCTGTACGACGTGGTTCCACCGGTTCCGGTTTGGTCTTCTTGGGCTTCGTAGCCTGTGGCTTATTCACTGTGGCAGGCTTGGTTTCTACGGGCTGCGGTTGGGAAACCTTCACCGCATCGGGTTGAGCTTTCGGCTGATCAGGTTCCGTTTTTACAGTCTCTGCATCGTTTGCAGTAGACGCTGGCAAGGCTTCACTGGTCACTTCCGGAAGGTCATTGTCAATGGTAGGCGGTGGTGCTTCCGCGTTGGCTGATGGTGGAATTTCCGCTTCTACCATTTCGTGCATTTCCAGCCAACTTCGTGGCCGCATCTGATTGGCATGTCGGCGCCATATCAGATCGCCAACCTTCACGTCCCACACCTTCGTACCATAACGTCTGACTAACTTTCCGCTTATCCAATCAACTGTGCGGTTCAACCGGTAGTCGCGCACCAGCACCAGCTGACCACTGTGGAACTCCTTCGGTTTCGTCCGCTTATCGAAATTCTTCTGGTATCGCTCGCGGTTGCGCTCTGTCGTGGTTGCCATGACGGGAATCAAAAGGTCCAACGTCGATCGGAGCTTCCGTCCGATAAACAATTCGGCCGGCGACTGCCCGGTCGTTGCATGTGGCGCGCTTCGATAACGCCACAGGAACTGGCGTAACGCATCCGGCAGTGCATGACCGTCGGCCATCAACTTCGCAAGTCCGTCTTTAACGGTTTGCACATACCGCTCGGCCTGGCCGTTTGACTGCGGGTGACCTGGAGGCGTCCGGGTGTGCCGTATGCCATACTTGCTGCAGAACTCCGTAAACTGCTGCGAAGTGAATGGTGTGCCGTTGTCCGACACAACTTCATTGCACACACCGTATCGGCTGAACATCGTGAGCAGCGCCTCCATCACTCCTTCCGTCGTTGCGTGCTTCATTTGCACCACTTCCGGCCATTTGGACATTGCGTCCACAACCACAAGCAACATCGTGCCCCGATATGGACCGGCAAAGTCCATGTGGACACGCTTCCAGGAGCATCGGGCACCGGCCACTGCGCTAGCGGAACTTTCGCTGTCTCACCCGCGCGCTCGGTGCATATTCGGCAGTCCTTGGCGACCTGCTCGATCTCCCTGTCCATCGATGGCCACCAACAGTAGCCCCGCGCTTCACCTTTCATTTTCCCGGCGCCCATGTGGGCTGCGTGTAGATGCTTCAGTATCCTGGGACGATACTTCTCGGGAATAACCGTGCGCGATCCCCAGCACACGCAGCCATTCAGCACGCTCAGCTCGTGCTGTACCTTCTTATACGGCCGAAGCCGATCGCTTACGGAGTCCGGCCAGCCGCGACTGATGCACTGGCGTACTTCCTGGAGCTCCGCATCGGCAGTCGTTTCCCTTGCGATGTCTTCCACTGACACGGGTATGTTTTCGGCACTTTCCACATGCAGCGCGCTCACTACGTTATCCATTCCCAGGTTTGGGTATTTCTCCAGCTGCGTGGAGTGGAGCGGCAGTCGGCTGAGACCATCTGCTTGACCAAACTCCTCGGTGCGGCGGTACTCTATGGAAAAGCTGTATCCCATGAGCAACAACGCCCACCGCTGAAGACGATTGGCCGTGACCACTGGGACACCTTTCCGCTTGCCGAAGACGCTCAATAACGGCTTGTGATCCGTTAACAGCGTAAACTCCCTGCCGGCCACGTACTGGTGGAATTTCTTACAGCCGTAGACGAGCGCGAGTGCCTCTTTTTCAATTTGCCCGTAATTCTTTTCCGCCGCTGACAGACTCTTAGACGCGTGCGCGATCGGCCTTTCTGTTCCGTCGGGAAAACGGTGACACAGAACCGCTCCCAAACCATACTGCGACGCATCCGCTGCCAGCACCAGCGGCATTGCGGGATTAAAGTGCACCAGGAACGTTGCGTGGACGATTTCTTCCTTGAGTGCCTGAAACTGCTTCGCACACTCAGTCGTCCATTCCCATGGTGCGCCGGACTTTAATAGGCGGTGAAACTGACTGCACTTTGCGGACAGGTTCGGTACGAACTTGGCGTAGTGATTTACCATGCCCAGGTAAGCACGTAACTCACTGACGTTGGTGGGCATTTTCATGTCCACCAGTGCCTTCACACGATCCTGGGATATGTGTCGCCCGTGTCGGTCCACCACAAAACCCAGATACTCGACCGATTCCTGCATGAATCTGCACTTCGACAGTTTCACGCGAAGTCCGTACTTCTCCAGCCGTTCTAACACCGCTTCCAAGTTTCGCTGGTGTTCCTCGTCGGTCTTGCCCGTGACGATAATGTCGTCAATGTACACTGCCACGCCCTCGCAGCCTTGCAGTATGCGCTCAATGATCTGTTGGAATATGCTTGGTCCGCTTGCGACTCCAAACGGCAAACGGTTGTACCTGAACAGACCCTTATGCGTGTTGATGACAACAAGCTGCTTACTTTCGTCGTCCAGCTCTATTTGCGCATACGCTTCTGCCAGATCCAGGCTGCTGAACTTGTCGCCCCCGTTTAACTTGGCAAATAGTTCATCGGGAGTGGGCAGCGGATAGGTTTGCACGTCGAGCGAGTCATTCAATCCAGTGCTTAGGTCAGCGCACGTGCGGATGTCTCCGGCTCGCTTCTGCGTTCCAACAATGGGTGCAGCCCAGTCCGCATGTTCCACAGGCGTGAGTATCCCTCTTTCCACCAAGCGGTCCAAATCTTTCTCCACTGCGTCCCGATAGGCGAACGGGACCGTTCGTGGCTTACAAAAGACCGGCTTCGCGCTTTCCTTTAGGTAGAGGTGAGCCTTAAACTCCTTGCAGTGCCCAAGTTCCTCGCGAAATACGCTGCTGTGGCGATCCAGGATGCTCTGGACAGTTGCGCGGGCGGTGACCTTTGACACCGAAAACACCTGCAGCTCTTTGAGACTTAAATGACTCAAATCTAGCGCTTTGATCCAGTCACGCCCCAGCACATCACCTCCACGGGCTACGACGACGACAGGCAGTGACTTCCTTGTCCGACCATATACCACCGGCATCGTTGCACTTCCGATCACCTGGATCGGATGGCCCGTGAAACTTCGTAGTGGTGTGGCATAAGGCGTCAGCTTCGGCGAGCCGATCTGTCTCCACGTGCTCGCCGTGATGATCGTCACACCCGATCCCGTATCCAACAGCATGGATACGCGGGCATCATTCAAGGTGATCGGTACCCGAATCGATCCACCCACTTCTTCACCGATAGCCAGGACGTCGAAGTCTTCCTGCACTGTCCACGTCCGACGGCCACCGCCGCCTCTGTCGCCCTTTGGCGGAGGCTTGCACGCCTTTGCGACGTGACCTTTCTTGCCGCACTTTCTGCACGTCGCTTCCTTCGCCCAGCAATCGGCCTTCACATGCCCTTTCCCGCCACACGCGTAGCATGCGCCGCTGCTGCCAGCCATCTTGCCACTGTTGCCGTCACCACGCCCAGGTCGAGTACCACCGTTACGTCCTTCGGATGTGGCCCCGAACGTCCCTTCTGGCCGCCGTCGATCCTCGCCACTTCAGTAGTAGTGGCTGTCCGCTTCAGCTGCGCCAGCTCATACTGCTCTGCGATATCCAGCGCTTTCGCCAGAATATCGATTTCCTTGGTTCGCAAATGGCGCTGCGTCGCTTCATTTTGGACTCCGTTTAGGAAGGCCGCACGCATGTTCCCCTCCAACGCGTCCGCCGGAAAAGAACACAACACAGCCTTCCTCCGCAGCTTATTGGCAAAATCCAAAAGGGTTTCACCAACTTCCTGCTTCAGGAGGAAAAAGTTCGCCCATTCTGTTGACTGCAGTGTCTTCTTTACGTATGCATGCTCGAGATGGGCAATGACTTCATCCAGCTTTAGCTCTGCGGGATCTTGTGGCAGACACATGGCAAACAACATCTCATGTGCTTCCACTCCTAGTGAGTCCAATAGCAGCCGCTTTTGATCGTCCTCCGCGGTGAGTTCCTGTATTTTGACATAATTGTTATAACGGGAACGCCATGCTTTCCACACCATGGAGCCAGGCTCGAACTTGAGCAGCGTCGGGGATTCCTTTGCTTTTGCCATAGTAGACGGTCCGGACGTGGTCAACACGTTCGTGGTATAATCAATACCAATATCGTCCAGAGACATTCGTTGAATACCACAAAAATGGCCTTCACGCCAAGTTTTGTCACGTCTTTTACTTCCCTCATGTACTTACTGATTCTGTATATGACAACATCATATCATCGGGTAATATAAAGTCATAAGTACAACATATCGTTGCTATGCTACAGACACACTGACATATATATACAAGTATATATTACGCGTATATATACATACAAGTATATTTTTATATATACAAGTTTTTTATATACACAAATGATTTATTTAACATTTTCATTTTTTTACATATTATTTTCAGTGGTGTATATTTTTACTTAGATTAATATATCCAATTCTTTGAAGCACAAAAAAATTTATTTTAAAAAAATTATAAATATTACTGTATTTTCACAAGTTTAAGGAACATGGTGGGGGCGTGGCCAGCGCAGCCGGACCGTCGGTCGGCTTTGATCTCAAAGGGACCGACAACTCGTGTGCGCGGCCCGGCCCCTGGAGCGTTCCTTAAACTTGTGAAAATACAGTAATAGTAGAATTAAAATGGAAGCGCTGGGAAATGTCGAACACTTTTGCCATGCGCGTTTAACGGCGGTTTTCCAGCTGGCTGCATAAAAAATTAATCCAATTTGTACGGGCACATTTTAGCGGCACTCCCTAATTTCTGCGTATTTTACAGTCCCCAAGGCGCTCTCCTCCGACCCTGCTCGCCCTCCTCCCCCAGCAACCGCAACCGGCAGCTGCACTTCCACGTCAGCACCCAGACGACAAGCGGCGCGGGTGTCGTCGTGGTGCCCACGGCCAGCACCAGCCATTCCCACTCGCATCCCCTCATCTCCATCCTCCCCACCTCGGTGACCCTCCAGTCCATTCCGCGTTCTCACAGCGGCCAGTACTACGCGCCGTCGGCCGCCATCCTTCTGCACCCGGATCCGCGACAGAACCCCCCACCCTCCATCCTCATCCTCCCGGGATCGGCGCGCAGTCGTATCCGGGAACACCAGAGCGCGCTCAATAGCGCCAAATCCACAGCGGAAGCCGGACAGGTAAATAGCGGCGCTATTGGTGGCCAGTGGTTTCTTAGGTTTCTTGGGTTTCTTATATTTCCGAGCTGCCATTAAATTCTGAATCTATATACAGCAATAGTCAACAAGGACCTTCACTGACTCGCCGTTTGTTAGGTTTCTTACATTTTCGAGGTGCCATTAAATGATGAATTTATGCTAAAGTCACTTCCGGCCTTCACTGACTCGCCGTGTCTTAGATTTCTAGGGTTTCTTAAATTTTGCCGGGATTAATTAAGAATTTATGTAAAGGTCACCGGGGACCTTCTCTGATTCGCGGTTTCTTAGGTTTCTTGGTTTTCTTAGATTATCGGTTCCATTAAATTTATGTAAAGATCAAGAATCACATCCGGGTACCAGTGGTCGTCTACTGGATTTCTTAAATTTTCAGGAAAGTATGTGTAAATTGCTAGCTTTATACAAAGATCAGCGATGACTTCCGGTGATCAGGGGTTTCCCAAGTTTTTACGTTTGCGAAGTCGTTGATAGAACGTTGTATGTAAAGGTCACTGAGGACTTCCCTTGACCAGCTCTTTCTTAATTTAGTCAGGTTTCTAATGCTACTGGTGTCGTTAAAATATGCACATTTGTGTAAAGGTCACCAAGGAGTCACCTCCGCGCAGCGCACGCAGTAACGGGAAAATGGCGGCGGCCGTAGCCAGTCCGGGATCGTCGACGCATACGCCGCAGCACCACTCAGCCGGCTACTACAGTCAGACGCTGTCGCATCAGACGCACTTCCACTACAGCGACCGCGCGGCGTCACCCACGGTGCAAGTGACCACCGCTAACGGTGTCGGTCAGCACTTTACGCCGCCGCGGCTCATCCCGCAGACGGTCACCAGCGGACAGAACGTGATCCAGATACGCACGGTCCAGAAACCCATTGAAGCGTACGTACACACCATCCCACCAAAAAACATACTCACTATTACTTATTAGCTAATTTACTTTTTATTACCGCACATATGCAGTAAATTCTCAATCAAAGTTCATAGTACGAGAATTATTATTTATGGAAATTAATATTTACATTATTTATTACTTATAATGGTAACTGTTATTGTTTACATTATTTACTAATTCTCGGATTAATATTAAGAAAATCGATTTGTTGTCGTTCTTTAATTTCATTTATCGGCGACCCGGAAGTGAACTTTTCAATAAATAAAATTGCCAATTTCGAGCTTTCTGCGTCACTAATATAAGCCGGTTTTCAAACGAAGTCGATTACAAGTGCCTCTTGAGACTTAGTTACATAACTCCAGGGTTGAATTGCCAGTAAAGTGTTCCACAACCGGAAATTCTTAACATTCCACAATGATTTGCAGTTTATTGGTGGACGGCGACAACCCCTTCAAACCGGAAGGCAAACTGTACAAGGAGGCCGAAGACGAGATCCAGCAGTACATTCGCCCGCTGTCCGCCGCGCCCAGTCCCTTGCCCAACGAACCCGAACCCCATCTGGACCCCGTGGAGCTGGACAAGGAGTTCCCGCTCCTGGTCCACCACCACCACGCCCACCCACACCACCACGACAACCAGCACGTCATCCAGCCGCAGACCAGCACCTCCGGCTCCAGCACCAAGGAGGACCGCTCCAAGTCCACCTCCTCGACCTCCTCGGCCGGTCCGCCGGGTCCCGAGGTCCCCGCCACGCCGGACAGCGACACCGGGAAGGAGAACGTGGCGCCGGTGGTCACGCCGCCGCCGACGGTGGTGCGGGACGTGGTGGACCAGCGCCCCACCGAGGGGAAGACCATCGTCCGGGACGTCGAACCCGCGCATCCCCGGGAGGTGGAACGGGAACGCGGGGAACCCTCCAGCAACGGGAAGGGCTCCAAGAAGGACGCCAAGAAGGAGAAGAAGAAGAGAAAGCCGGTGGGATGCGGCGGGGATAAAAGCTGCTCCATTATGTAGTGCCGGATACTTCCCATATAAACATGCATCATTATATATACATGCAAATTGAAGTTTCTTTGATAGACGTTTTAGTTTGACAGCCATTTTAGATTTAATTATTCTTTACAATTTTTTGTTTTGTTATTTGCGTGCCGTGCGACAATAGTTTTTTGACATATAATAGTGTGATGTGCGAAGATGTTAGTTTAACTGGCACCGGCTTTTTGTGGAGACATTGGACTAGTCAGTTGTTGATTTGGCGGGTTCTCGTACCGGTTTTCACGTTTTTAATTTTTATGCACGGCGGCTACGGTTTGCACATTCTACTGCACGGTTATTTTTTTCTATGGTAGAGTTCCTGTGTCTTCTGTTCAGTATCTAATCCGATGCAATGCGCGCTTTTGTACTTCTACTGTTATTACCATATGTAGTCATTCGGGACTAGCTGCAGTCACTGTGCCAAGTACGAGTACCTCAACAAAACGATTTATTTAATATTTATGACTCCAGTTCTCTGTAATGCGCAAAAGTCGCGGTTTTATATAAAAAAGGAATTCATTTAGGATTGTATCTGTATGCATGCTGGTCCATACGGACATACCAAACATCCAAGTACTAACCGGGCCCGACGTAGGTTATCTTCCGAGATCGAACGGGATCGGGAGTTTTCTACGTGGTATGGTCGTAGACGATTGCTCAGATATTTATGGCGCCGGTTGTGATATCAAGTCAACCCGGCACAATTATTAACGTCATTTAATTGTATACATTGGCGTGAATATAATTGACAAACATAAATAAAATAAGTTTAGTTAGCTAAACAGGCCAAAAAGCCGTCTAGTTAAAAAGGCAAAAAGTCTACAACACCCGCTGTTCCCAAGCGGTCACCCATCCAAGTACTAACTGGGCCCAACGTAGGTTATCTTCCGAGATCGAACGAGATCGGGAGTTTTCTACGTGGTATGGTCGTAGACGAATGCTAAGGTTTTTACGAGTATAAATATAACGCCGGTTGTGATGTCGAGTCTAATCAGCAGCATTTGAAAATCATTTATTTTAATTTTGTGCCTGTTGCTGTAATGGGTTCGTTGTTAATTGAGTACTTCAGTAGAACTCTTAAAAATCTGACATCAACACTATCTCAGCCAGTGTTGCTTTCATACTCACACTTCTATTCACATTAATATACTCGTAATATTGCAGATTTTTTGGAATTTATTTTGGTAATTTACCATAATAAAACCAATGCACGCTGAATGGTACGCACCACCGAGGAAAAGACAAAAATTCTGCAATATGCAGCAACTGTACACTGATACATTTCCGTATCCCGAAAACTTCTAACCGTAAGGTCCAGAACAGCATTGACGTGCAAGTATTACTGAATTAAAGCAAAATGAATTAACCCCGCATAATCACACCGAATGCTATTTATCTGTACATCACACATTAGCGTCGTTGGTGTCCCATACAATTACGTCATAACCACGCTGATGTTTTCGTCGGGTGATGCTGCTTCTTCGTCGTTCGGACGCTCCCCACGATCCATATGCGGCATCACGGCGTCCATTGCGTGACCGATGGTCTCCCGGATAGACTGGATGGGATGATCCCAGAAGCTCTCCTCCGATGTTGTGGAGGCGCGGCGTAAATCGTCCCGCTCGTTGATATTAACTCGTGCATCCCGGTCCATTGTGATTCTACGTTAAACCATCTTATAAGCAACGAATAAAAGTATAATTATTACGCCTCGTTTAATTTTACGTATATAGCTAGATTTTTGTGTATATTACGGCATTCAGTTCTCAAACTGTCTTATACATTTAGGTACTTACGATTTCTTTTCAACCGATATTCCAAGGTAATAAGAACTGTTCCAAGTTCGAATAAAGGCTATTTGCAAGTTGAGACTGTAGCTTATTGCACTGTAGTTAAAGTTAAACAAATTTCAAACGTTTGTGAAATGAGACTAGTTACGGAGAACGCACTGCCAAAGAATATTATTCCCGGAGTCAGCAACACACAAACGAGTATACGTCTTGTGATGCATCAAAACATTCTGGAAAGTTCCCACGCGGCGCAGTACCGACCGAAAACGTCATTCTGGTCGTACTTTGCCGGCTGCCGCGGTGCAATATATGCAATCGATACCTATTACTTCAGCTGGTTCCAGGAAGAGAGTTTCGCGCAAACGCGGTAAGTACGCGTACCGTGTTTACATTGATTTGTAAATTTAGCCGCTCATATGATTTCAATGTCACGTCAAGAACGCCACCTGTGTAGATAAGCAATAAAGTGCAGCCAGCGGATAGCGGTGTCTAGCTCTGATGCAGTCGTGTGGTTATGATAATGTGATGCAATGCTATATACGCCGTCGGTGCATGTGCCCGATAATTGTTTTACTTAAACTAAAACGTTTATAATTTCGTCGGGAATTCGTTATATTAGCAAGATCGCCTGTGTTACACTATACAGCATCAGATATTAAGAATATCTTAATAAAAATACAGCATTCTGCAAATACATCTCTAAAGTGCAACGAAGTGCGAAGAGTACCGATTATTTTGATACAAGTACTAATGCATTTAAGCAAAAAAGCAACAACTTCAACAAAATTTTTAAAAAACATAATACTGATAATTATTATTCACCAGTGCACATACGAATATTAAATTTGATCAGACCGCATGATTGTGCAACTTGTGCGCCAATCATGATGTGCCATATCAAAAACAAACTCACGGTACCGTTGCAAAATCCAGCGGCATTATTTATCAAGAAGGGGAAAAAGTGGTGTTGGTACCGGCTTGGTTGGGTATCCCAACCGGCGTTATAAATATCTAAGCATTCGTCTACGACCATACCACGTAGAAAACTCCCGATCCCGTTCGATCTCGGAAGATAACCTACGTCGGGCCCGGTTAGTACTTGGATGGGTGACCGCTTGGGAACACCGGGTGTTGTAGACTTTTTGCCTTTTAAATAGACGGCTTTTTGGTTTAATAGCAAACTATATTTATTTTATTTATATTTTGTTAATTATTCACCCAAATGTATTTAATTAAAATGGCTTTTTATTAATTGTGCCGGGTTGATTCGGCATCAGAAGCGGCATTACAAATATCTATGCATTTGTCTACGACCATACCACGTAGAAAACTCCCGATCCCGTTCGATCTCGGAAGATAACCTACGTCGGGCCCGGTTAGTACTTGGATGGGTGACCGCTTGGGAACACCGGGTGTTGTAGACTTTTTGCCTTTTAAATAGACGGCTTTTTGGTTTAATAGCAAACTATATTTATTTTATTTATATTTTGTTAATTATTCACACAAATGTGTTTAATTAAAATGGCTTTTTATTAATTGTGCCGGGCTGATTCGGCATCAGAACCGGCATTACAAATATCTATGCATTTGTCTACGACCATACCACGTAGAAAACTCCCGATCCCGTTCGATCCCGGAAGATAACCTCCATCGGGCCCGATTAGTACTTGGATGGGTGACCGCTTGGGAACACCGGGTGTTGCAGACTTTTTGCCTTTTTAACTACTCAGTAGAGTTCTTTGCTCTCAGGTAGATGCGGAATTTTACTCATAATTGTTTTGCGGAAGTTGTAGGTTCGAAACTCAGAAATCTTGCCAACTGTGAAGTGGAAAATTAGTCATTTAACCCAATGTGATCGTGTCGTTCATTAACGCTGCAACCGCAAATATACTGAACCAGGATGTTTGACGTTGGCGAATGATGCTGCTCATCATTCAATATTAAATCGATCTGCCGCAAACCGATTATTATAACTAAGTACAGACTATATAATACTTGTGCAGAAACAGACAAAAGCTTTTTTTCACCGTCGGATCGACCAAACGCAAATTGCACATCGGTGAGCTAGACGCTGACCCAAGCAGCAAAATTTTATTCCCCTGTGCAGAAATGAAGAATCTTACTAGTACTAACCCCAGTAACCGGAGATTCTGGCTTGTGTCCGCCGTGACCGTAATACTGTCAATCATTCCGGTTACCGCTTGGCCGCCGTTTCTTACCGGTTTAGATTTTTTGCCACTGGGATCTGTAGTGTACTACTCGGCTTCCGACTCCAAACACTGCAACAATCTGGTGTTCGGAACTTGCAGCACCAAATGGGATTATTGCTCATGTAACCAGCCTGCCGTCAACTTCACCGTTGTACCGTCCGATGTCACGCACTTGCACTTCGGAGATTTTATATCGACCGGACTGTACGCCCAATAAAATGCGCACCGAGCTGTGTACGGGAGACATTCGCTTTGCCGTATTACCAGAACCTAACCGCGCTTGAACTGCACGATTTCTGGATTCCCCACGACCGGCCGTTCCCGGTTGGCCGCTTCCTCAGTAATTTTAAACCGACATTGAAACAACTCACTCTCCATACTGTCCATCTACCGGCCATTACAAAGAGACCTTTGCCGGTTTTTTGCCTGGACTATCTAAGACTTACGAATAATCGTATATTGACGATTACAGTGGACGCTTTTACGTCCCTGCGCGCTCCCAGTAGAATATCAGGATCTTAAACCCATCACGGCTCAATACCATCAAATTTGAGGGCAATGAGTTTACAACGCTGGATTGGACGATATTTGAACCGTTGGCTGGCAGCCTTAAAGTAAGCATACAAAACCGGTGCACTAAACTGTTGCCTCGATTAGCGTAGTATAAACCGTAATCAACTACGGTTTTACCAATAACTTCTAGGCTACTTACTGTAGAATCCGTCCTTTCCGGCAAATAAATTTAAAAATCACGATAACATCCGATCAGCGTTATACAAACCGTAAAGGTGATTCACGGTTTTTGCAATAATTCCCTGGTTTCTGATAGCCTGTTCTTCCAGCCATCATATTGGAACCTTACACAGATAAACTTTGTTAAATACTTTTGCAGTCAATTTCACTAACCCGGAACAACATTCACCGCATCTACTTCAGCCATTTCTTCACCATGCCAGCCGTTGAACACGTGTATTTATGGGGAAACCACCTGACCGGCATCGACAACCAGCTCTTGTACAGCCTTGCTCTGCAGGATCTTCGCCCGTTTTGGATATTCAGTGGAATCCGCTGTGTCCAGCGGATATCCTGTGCCGCTGTCCGTCCATGGACAATCTATGGAGTGGTACCTCAAGATGCCCCGTTATTACACTGCACTACGGCCGGGGCTGGCCGACTGTCGTGATTCAACTGACTATTTCACGTGTGGGAACTACAGTAGTGGTGTACCGCAGCCAGACGTGAGCGGATTAGTGAATACGATGGCGCCAATGACCGGGAAAACCTATGAAGGTTGTGGAGTTCCGGGTTTTGCTAAGAAGGCACGCGATGAGCAACGGGCCGCTAAAAATCCCATCAATCGCTTCTTTCCGCCTTCGCTTCGGGAATATTTTTTAAAAATTACCGCGGCTTTGATGAAACCATCGTAATTTCACCGAACACAGATATCCTATTGGTGACGCAACGCTGGACTGTCACTTTCTACTTGAGCCAGCAACATCGTGCATACGACTAACAACAGTTTCCAGATACTGTTGTACTTTTGCTGCTTTTTGCTGTAGCTTGTGCTAAAATAGTTTTTATTAACAAGCAGCGATTTTTGGAGAAGGTATTCTGGGGAATACATGAAACATACCATTCTGTAGAGAAAAATCAGCTCTATTATTATTATTATTATTACGGCACAAGAGCAGACAACCCCAAGAGGACTTCAAGTCTGGTCGAACAAAAACATTTTTCTGCTAACAAAAACATTTAGGACAGCTTAACAGATTTGAGTACAAATTTAAAAGAAGGTACAGAACTAGCTTCGAGAATTCTAGGATTAACAGCAAGGATTTTATCAAGAAGACGCTTTAGTCGCATTTCCATAGTCCACCCTCCGATAACTTTCTTCGCCCGCATAGCATTGATCCGGGCCGGCTTCCGCAAATTGTAGCTCATGGTATTATCTTTTGCTTGAATCATGTCCAGGAGGTATGCCGGAAGCGAGAACTGATCTTTGTTCCAGAACTTGAACAGCCACACCGCATCGCTCTGACGCCATCGGTCGAATATGTGAAGAATACCCAACTTCTGATACAGTTCCGGAGTTACCGGCATCTTGTAATCAGTGATGGTTTTCAGAGCTTTACGTTGCAGTCCTGCTAGCTTGTCGCGCTCAGTCGAAGACGCTGCTGACCATACCGGCGACTGGTTTGCGATATGGCATCCAAAGCAGGCGTGGTAAAGACCTTTGCGCTGTGACATGCTGAGCCCTTAAGTACTATTTTTTTAAACGGGGTAAGTATTGTCATTTTTTTGTAATAATTATGTAAAGTTAGTATTGCAAAACGCTCCGTGACGTGTACGCGCGCACATCAAAAATGCCGCCCATCGCGCATGTGAAGATATCGATCTTCGCCAGCGCTGATCGCGGATATGCTGCAGCGCATGGTTATCAGTTTGCCAGATCATCTCGGGATTCAGCGTGAGCGAGTGTATGGCTTGCTGTATCTTCTGAGCATTGAACATCTTTTCCCAGCACAATTTTCGTTTCTGGTTCCACGAACTCACAAAATTACTATTTGAAGATCTTTCATCTCAAATGCACGTAAACAATATTATAACCCGTCAGCACTCCATGTGGATGCAAAACGAGAAGGAACACAAAATTGTTTTAAGCCGCCAAAGTAACTGCGGTAAAGGCAGGACAGCGCTCAAATTTGAGCGAAGATCCGTATCTCTGCTGCGTCGATGGGCGGCATCATTGATGTGCGCGGGTACACGTCATGGAACGTTTTGCAATACTAACTTTACATAATTATTACAAAAAAATGACAATACTTACCCCGTTGAAAAAAATAGTACTTAATAGAGCTGATTTTTTTCTACAGAATGGTATGTTTCATGTATTCCCCAGAATACCTTCTCCAAAAATCGCTGCTTGTAAGCTTGAGTATAGTGGGCAGCGTCACGAAAACAATATCAAGAAATCAAATAAAAAAGGGATCCCAGTTCGAGCGTGAAGGGACGGTAGTTGGCCAAGACCAACTGAGCATTGCCACGCCAAATCTCTAGACTTAAACGCTGAAACAAAAACGAAATGGATCGAGACTCGCCGGTTCGAACAAACAGATTTCTTTAAATACAACCGATTTCTTTAAACACAACAATAACACCATCACACCATGGGCCAAAAGACTCGCATGCGCTTGTGCTACGTACTATACATGTGTCGTGTAGAAGTCTCAGTACAGGTTAATGTACGAGGATTACCACTTCCCTGCCACGACTCAATCGGTAGAGCAAACTCTTAAATCAACTGTTACAGTAAGAACGGGTGGAACTAATCAGGAATACGAACCTTCAGGAATCCCTAAGCAATTGTGCTGAATACTCCTGACTTCCGGTCGTAGGTAGATGTGCAGGTCAATAAGATACGAGCATACGTGTTTACCACGCTATAATCCGTAATTAATTATGAACGTCGGCCAACACTGAAGATGCTTTATTGCATCAACTCACAATCACATAAACAACTCACGTACCAGCGGCAGAGAAGAGACTGGTGGAATTCGCGCTAAATACTTACTGTCGTAACGTTACAGTATCGAAGTTCATGGTGGCTACAATGTGGCTTGTGATTTAGGAACGGTTGATCGAGCAGCAGCTCCAACTTGATGGATTATTTTCTCTCTTTGGTAGTCGTACATATACTGTATCTGAATTTAAAAGTGCCCGTTTGCTGTAAGAATACTGCACACACGAATTGAGATACATACTGTATTTTGTAATAAATTTTATTTGCCGTGCTTTTAATTAGATGCCAAAGGTTATCTACCTTCTGTATCTACCTTCACATTTTTCGCTCCTCTTGGGCGGGATCCAGGTACTGGAGGAGCTTCGCGGGAAGGCTGATAATTTGGTAATTGCGGCCTACTATCTGTACATTCGTATTTGGTGAAAGTCTGAAAGTAACATTTCACTATGTGCCGTAAATTAACAGCAATTTAAATATCACATGTGACGTGTATAGATGCTAGTACGTACGTTCTTTACCTATAATTAGTGTACACCTTCTCCTACGTCACTGCGGTTGTTCAATTACTGCTATCTGTGATTCGCCTGTTCTCATCTTGATAGCTGTACCAAGTTGTACCTAGCTGTACCAACGCTGTAGCTGTACCAACGCTGTACCAAGTTGCATGTTACCAACGCTAGTAACCGCCTGTTGTACTCCAGTCCTACTGCATTTTTGTTTTAATTTCGTTATTTCGTATCTAGTGCTCCTCGTAGTCTATAAATTCTCCTGTCATCGCTAATATCGGTATCAGTCTTGATCACTCTAGACTGGCAACTTGCTTTTAACTTTCCTCCTGCATATTTAGGGAACGTCCGCTATTCGGCCGTTTCTGATGCAGAACCAGAGTGTTCCGACGTCTGATCAGCACAAGTCTGCCGAAACTTATCGGCCACAGTCAAATCCCATAGAAACTGTTTGTCGTTCTGACTAGTGCAAAAAAAGGAGTCTATATCGTTTCAGAGTTAGTTAGCACGTTAGTTCTACTTTTGCAAGTGTTGCTGAGACTTTTAGTAGGTTTAAGTGTAAGCCTATCTGTGCATCAGTCACTGCCGGAATTAAACTGATGTCGGATGCCGGCAAATCTATCCGACATTATATATATACCGTATACATATAAAACACCTGAACGCCAAACCCAGTTGATTTTGGAATATACTGTAGCTAACCCACGTCAGTCCCGGTTAGAACTTGGATGGATGGCCGCCCTTAGGATTACCAAGGGTTCTGCGTTGTAGATCATTAGATCATCTTTTGCCTTTTCTGGATGCATTTTCTTCTGTTTATGTGTGGTGAGCGACATTTTTATTACATTGTTAGGTGAAGTTTTGTCTAAGAACAGTTACCGCAGTGTTGTCGCCCTTCTTTGGAAATCGGCAAGCAAAGGCATGTTTTACGAGGCTCGCTGTACCAAGTTGCATGTTACCAACGCTAGTAACCGCCTGTTGAACTCCAGTCCTACTGCATTTTTGTTTTAATTTCGTTATTTCGTTAATTTTCTTGCATTATCTTACCAGGGCACATTTTCCGGGTGTAAATTCAGAAAAATCTCCTCTCTTGTAAAAAGATAGTATACTACCGTAGTATGGTTAAAAAAATTATCCCATCTGCCATGGTCCATGGGCGTGGCCAAAACAGAATTTAACAATAAATTCTACGCTATGCTGTAGCCTTTGGCCAGTGCACCGCATCATTCATTGTAACAGTACTGAACAACCTGTACGAGGCTATGTAATTTAACTATTTAAGTACCCGTCCAACAAATCAAAGAAAAAACAGTGCAAATTGTTTTCTACTGAAAAAACTGTAAACTGTACCATGTCTACAAAGAAACGGTAAATAATGATCGCAGTGCACTTCATAAGGTTGTTACATCCATAGCAATATACATAGCGCTAGAAGTTAGAACTATGTGTGGATATGGAGCATCTTTTGACGTCCACAGATAAAAGTTTTGAATAAACTTTTGATTAAACATGTTAAAGTTAACAGATAAAAGTTTTGAACGAGTTTTTAAGTTAAACTGGCGCTGTACAAATTGTTCAGTAACGTAATAAAGTACGATGCGGTGCACTGCCCATAGGCTACAGCATAGTGTAGAATTTATTGTTAAGTTCTGTTTCGGGCACGCCCATTGACCATGGCAGATGGAATAATTTTTTTAGACATATCGTACTACGGTAGTAAAACCAGGGCGCTATCCACTGGAAACCGAGATACGGCTGAAAAAGGCGCCGATGGGGGAATCGAAACCCGGCTACGTCGTTAGATCCGCGTAGGCAGTACCACTGCACCACGGCGCAATACGTTGAAATCATTTGAAAGATTTTGTCGCTTTACGTGAGCCGCTTCTCTCCTCACAGTAGTATACCATCTTTTTACAAGAGATAAGATTTTTTTGAATTTACACCCGGAAAATGTGCCCTGGTTAGTACGTACTCATGGTACTCTGTACTTATGCAAGTATAAAATATCTGCATTTCTGAACTTTACAAGTATGAGCAGTAGGACGTTGTGAGAAGTTGCAAAACTTCTTAATTAGCTGATGCTGTGTTACCGACAAATCTTTTGTTATTGCTATAGGACCAGTCAATGCTCTCAGCCGGATGCGCACTCTAGCTCATA